AAAAAAAAAAAAAAAAAAAACTATTCTATTTGGGATGATTTTGGTAGGAGAAGACAGTTATAGTTACCCAGGACATTTTTTCATGTTTACACTAAACATTATTAGACTTTAAAAGTAGATTTTAAAAAACTGATACTGTCTTTTTTTAAAAAACTCTAAAATTGATGTAAAAGATTCCAAATCTATGCAGAAGAATAGAGAAAAGTATTTCTATGCAAATATTCCTTTCAAATGATTTGTCTGATGGAAATCAACTGTGAGTTAAATATAATGAGACTCTTTAATGTCACTAAAATACCTAAAGTTTAAGAATTAAACTTTAGGCCTTCATGGAGAAATAAAAAAAAAAAAAAAGAGAGAGAGAGAGAATTAAACGAATCCTTTCAAAGTGTTCTATTTCTCTTAATATGGACGATGTTTGAGATTTTTTTTTTTTTGCCTTTGAAACTTCATTGCCAATATCAGTCTTCAACACGAGTACCAAATACCGAAAACAGTGATAACTGTGTATTTGCTATTATGAAGTTAGTAAAATAAGACTATCAAATCATGCACTTATTTCTGATTAGTTATCACAAATAGTTTAAAGAAAAACATAACTTGTGCAACAGGCTTACATGAGACTAGAGTCTCATATAAAACTAATATAAAAGCAGTCATAAAATTAGAGGCCTTATCTAATCACACTTTGTAAGGGATCAATCCCTTATTTATGCAAATATTTTTCAAATGGATATTACCCTTCTCCCTCCACCAAATTACAAATAGCAATTTCAAATCAAAAGAAAGCCAAGAAAAAGTAACATTGAGATATATAAAGAGGAAACCGTGAAAGAGGAGAATTGTGGCCCATCTTAAATTCTCCAGAATTTAAGAAATTCTCCTCCCTGTGTACTGATTTAAAAAAGAGAATCACACCTTTTCTTTAAAGCTGTCCAGAATTATCCATCAAAATTAATCCCTTGGTTTTTTTTGATACTCCCATATTTTCCTTTTACTTTTTGTCATTGCATTAAATATGTATGGAATTATGATAATTTATTTAGTCTATTTCTTCCTTTGGATGAAAAGGTCTTAAACAGACTTTATCTTAATTATTAAATTCCCTAAAGCACATGGAACATAGGGCCTTGCAGGAAACAGATTCACTAAGAAGGAAGAATGCCACCATGATTATTTTATCTGTATTATGTTGCTTTTATAAAAATGCTATTCACTTGTAAGTTTCTTCTTCATAAAACTGTATGAACTAATTTATAAGCTAAACCTTCTATCTGTAAGAAGGAAGGAAGGTCTGTCTACCTCTAAGAATGAAGAAATTTAAAATGGAAAATCTCTCATTACTAGCATTCTGTTTTAATTAGATAAAAGAAATCTTCAGTACACAAATCCATTATTATTTTGGGAAGTATTCTCTGAATACAGTAAGTGTTTTCAAAAAACATTTCCCTCTTGTTATTTAGCCTGTCTGAGCACTGAATTCCTATTGCAAAATGAGTAATAGTAGTATCTGCCTCACAGGGATATTGTGTAAATTAAATGGGAGCATATGTGGAAAGTAACTAGCATCAGGGCTGGGACAGTGAGATGGTTTAGAGATAGCACTACCTTTTCCCTGGTTATTTGGAGGATGATTAAAGGCAAGGGTTTATTTTAGGAAAGCCACAATGATTAAAATTTATTTAGTGAAACCAATACCCTGCCCATCCTCCCATCATTGTCATTAAAATAAGAAGCCCTTTCCTGCTGGAAGTCTTCACAACCTGATACAGTATCATACCAAATTACAGTACCCCAACAAATACTCCATGTACAGGTTACACATGTGAAAGTGCTTTTGGAAACAGCAAACTGCCATTGCAATGTAAATTATTAGTACTGTATGCCCCTGTTATGTTTGTATTTCATTTTGTTAGTAATTTGAAAAAAGTCCTGTATACCTTATTTATTTAAAATGTATGTTCACATGCTTTATTACACTGTAAACTCTTTCAGAAGCACAATATTTAATATAATTTTGTTAGCTTCACAGCATCTGGTTCAGGAACACATTTCACAAGCACTCCATAATAAAATTTGTGAATAATTTCAAAGTGCTGTAAGATCTATTTATATGAAAAACAACATATATAAATATCATTGCCTTGAATGTTTTGTGCAAAAAAGTAAAGCATAGACAAAAGTAAATATGGATTAAATGATATAGTTAATTTTCTTCTTACTGAGCCTACATAAGCTTTAATTAGAAAAACAACTAAGATTTTTGAAAAGTATATCAGTTCATTCTATAAACTTTAAGTGCAGTGCATAAACAGAAAATGCTGTAACTTGCATTTACCTGTTTTTTAGCAGAGCTGTGAGGCTCTCGGAATTCAGTTGCTGCATTAAGGCCTCTCTCAATGTTGGAAGCATGGAAAGCACTGTAATATAAACAAAAAAATTTAAAAAGTCACATGTGATATGACTGCCCTCACTAAGAAATGCACACTGTTTTAGGCTATATGTTAGGGATAGCAACTAGCAAGAGTCCAAAGGGAATGTCAGGGCTAGACAATTCAAATTATTATTATTATTATTATTATTATTACAAGTCTATTATATACTAACAAATCATTTATCTGCTTATGTAATATAACAAAAGCATATAAACATTATGATCACAACAACATAAGTACACAGAGAAGAAAGAATAGAAACCATTATTCTCAGATTTTAATAGTGGTGGTCTTTGAGCCATAGATTATGAATAATTCCTTTTTTTTCTTCTTTTCCTTACTCTCCCAATTTTTTACAATAAGTATTTACTTCTGATATAATGACAATGGTCAAAAACATTTTTAAATTCAGCTATACTTTTTGCTTCATTTTTCATTTCTAATTTTTAAAAAGTTGATTTATTAAATACTACAAAGCAATGAACATTTATTATAACCTAGACAAAATTGTACTGGGTTAGGAAGTAAGAGTTGCTGAGTTTTAGTTTTGTTAGTGGGTATTATTTGTTACTGTTTATTGTAAATGTTTACTGTTTGTAATACCATGAAGCAATAAACATTTATTATAACAGATAAAAGTACACTGGGTTAGAAACTAAGAGTTGCTGAGTTTTAGTTTTAGTTTTGTCAGTGGCTGTTCTTTGTTATTGTTTGTTACTTCCAGGAATAATGTGAAGATGAAATGAGACTGGCAATCTATGGGGAAAAAACTTCACCTGATTTTTGGGAGTTAGTTTATTTACGGCTCTAGATGTGGAATAAGAAACGCTGGAGAATAAGAATCTGTCATGCGATTAGAGAAAAAAAAAAAGAAATGAAGGAATACACACATAAAAATGTAAAATGAGTTTCTAAGCTCTAAATAAGTAATGATAACAAAATGAAAAAATATCAAGACCACCACATTTTTTTTGAGACAGAATCTCACACTGTCATCCAGGTTGGAGTGCAGTGGTATAATCATGGCTCACTGAAGCCTTGACCTCCTGGGCTCAAGTGATCCTCCTGCCTCAGATTCCCGTGTAACTAGAACTAGAGGCATGTGCCTCCATGTCCAGCTAATTTTTTAAATTTTTTATACAGATGAGGTCTCACTATGTTGCACAAGCTGGTCTTGAACTGCTGGGCGCAAGCAATCCTCCCACCTTGGCCTTCCAAAGTGCTGGGATCACAGCCATCACACCTGGCTATGAACACCACATTTTAAAAGGGAAAACATCTTGGGTAAGAAAACAAGTTATATTTACCCCAAAGCACTCATTTTTTTCCAGTACATCAATTACTTCTTATCCAAAATAGAAATTTAATCATATTATTTGTAACCCCATTATCAAAGCTCATGTTATGCATTGTACAAAAAATGCAGAATGTGCAGAAAACTAATTTGGGAGGTTTTCACTGAACCTATATTTTGGCTCTTAGAGATCAAATATTTTACTTTTAATTGCCTATAGTTAGCTGTTTGTTCATCCTAGGGTTGTGTCATGGAAATGTGTGACCTCTATCTTTTGCTGGGAGAGCACAGTTAACTGACAACCCCAGCTGCCACTCCTCTGGATCCATCATCATGTCTGCACTACTCCCAGCCAATGACACTGTTTGGATGGGGACATTTCTGCAGGCCCATTTCTGCAGGTCTCCTTTACCAGAAACTTTGGCTCGCAGACTCCTCATTGGTCTCCCAACGCTTTCTTAGAACTGTGCTGTAGTCTGAGACTCTCCTTGCCTAATCTTCCTTCCTTCCTTCTCTTTTTCCCTTCAAAGTGTCAGACCTGCACTGTGGCTTCCCTTGCCTCCTTCTGCCTCCCTTCCCCTTTATTCGTTACAGGCATATCTACTAGCAGATCTCTTGTACATCTAATCCCATCCTAGCATCTGCCTCCCAGGGGGCCCAAATGGAAACAAAGGTCCATGTCAAACTGAGACACATTTTAAGACCCCAGCAGCTACATTTTACTATTTTTTGAAAATTCAAGTAATAACCAGAAATAGACCATTTTCTAAAAATTTGTTAAAATGTTCTAGGCACTGCCATTACATTGAATGCTGAATGTCAATTTAAATAATTTTGTAACTTTAAAAAAGTTATCATTTACTGAGTATTTATTATATGTCAAGCACTTTACAGGCATTATCTCATCACGGCCTCACAAAACATTTATGAAGTGACTTTTATGATGTTCATTTTATGCTCAGAATTATCATTATATATAGTATTTATGATTACCATTTGCTTTGTAGAATGCAGGTATTTTCTGGGTATTACTACTTCAAATATTAAAAATCATACTCCAGTTGTACTTTTGGATGTGCCTCTTACCCTTCTTAATCTCAGCCTCAAGTAAAATGAGGGAAGTCAACTAATAATAAAGGCCTTTAACTCTAAAAAAATTCTACTTTTAAAATTAAATAAGGAGAACATACCTTTATAAATTCTTCCTAAATTAATTGTTCTTGAAAGAAATGTTAGAGAAATGAGTAAACTTTAAACAATAAAAAGGAAAGACAGGCTTGGCATAGATTTGAGAACTAGAAGAGTTATGCCAGTCAGAGCACACTGTTCTCTTCAAATATGGGCAGGCTGATTTTGTGATGGCATTCTCCCAGGGTTATGTTTCTAGCTCTGGAGGTTAAATTATTGCCATTAATTAACATTGCCTGAGGGTATACTATTGTGGGAGACTCATAGGCCTACAGTTGCCTACAGTAAATTTAATAAATGTAATCACTCTTTCCTATGGCCAATAGGGCCAGCGGGATCAAGCCTACTTCTGCAGCCTTGTTTCTTGTCACAGCCATTGTTCATTCTGCTCTAGCTACGTGGCCTTTTTGCTGTGTCCTGAATGTACCAAGCTTGTTCCCATCTCAGGCATTTCACATTGCTCCGTCCATTGTAACATTTGGTTTCTGCTCCAATGCTACCCAAAAGAAACCTGACTCTACTGATCCCTGTCTTAAAGAATGTCTCAGCCCTCACATGGCTTTATGCTCCATATGGCAGCCATCATGGCCTAAAGTTACTTGTTATCATCTTTTTCTCTCACTTGAATATAAACTCCAAAGGTCAGGGACTTTTTGTTGTTGTTGTTCACCTCCTGCTTCCCCAGTCCTGGATACAATTATTTGCTGAATGAATAACCAAAATGAATGAACTGATTTTTAAAATTCATATTAAAATGACATAATTCAGTTAAATCATTCAAATCCTTGCTAGATTTATCATTCTTTCTTTGCCTTTTCCTCTAAATTTGATCCTGGTGATATGCAAATTAATACAAACCATCAAACAACTTTACACATGTAAAAATATTTCTCTGACTTACCTGTCATATTGCAAGTCCTCTGGTTACTTTCAAAATGATACTGTCGTCGTGCTTGGGCAATGTATTCCGCAGCCTCCCTTTCCTGTATTTCTCTGATTTTCTTCTGTCCATATTTCCCCAGAATATATACTCCTAAAATCAGTTTTAAAAAAAACTACTATATTAATTAGAGTACCAAAAATTCTACACAGTGTTTTTAACCTACTTTATCCAATTATAAGTCTTACATTAGTGGACAGCTAAAATTACATTTTAAACCTAAATAAAGAATTTGTAAGACTAGCCCAAAGAAAAGGAGACCAGCATTTTAACAACCAATGACAGAGGAAATGATGGGCACATAAGGACTAGGTCTGAAGAAGGGAAAGGAATTAAATCTAAAAAGGCTGGTAGTGCCTTTACTAATAGACTAGAGATATTCTAAATGTCCAGCAATGGAGAATTGTTTAAATAAATGATAGTCTAGCCATACAGTGAACTCTTATGCAGCTATTAAAAACCACATTGCTAAACAGTTAATGACTCAAGGAAATATCCACATTACATTTTTAGGTGATAAAATACAATCCCAGAAGTTTTACTTTTTTTAACGGAAAAGATAGAGAAAAATAGGTGAGTTTTAATTTCTAAAATATAATAAACGATGATCATTGCTTAATCGTGGGATAACAGGTAATTTTGTCCTTGGTATTTTCTTTAATAAACACAAAATGCTTTTTAAAAATATAAAATTTTTAAAAGGAACAATGAAAGAAAGGTAGGTAGTCAGGCAGACATCTATTTATCCATCCATGTGTTAGAAAAATCTCTTTTGAGGAAAGGAGAGAAAATACAAGTCTCTCATCTAAAAATTAGTAACTTATTTAGAAAAAAAAGAGGGAAGAGGGTACAGAAACTCTTAAATTGTAACATTACAGAATACAAATACAGGTGGTGTCATGTGGCCTGTAACTGAACACATTTCAGCATAGACAGTATGATATAAATGTATACATTTTGGTCTCTGTTTGAGGGGCAGTGAGTTCTCCTAACTGGGAATGTGAACATTCCATAGTGGTTAGTTAGCCATAGTTGATCAAAAGCCACATTCCAAGGCTTAAGCTCTTCAGCTATGTCGCTTACCAGCACCAAATATCTTTTAATTAGCATATGAATATCAGGAATGGATTTTCATAGATTAAATTAATGGTTTTCAAGATGCTGGACTAGCTAAAACATTTTGCTAATATTGATATGAACTAGAATGTGTATGAATCAGCAAGTCCTTCACCTTTAGAAACTGTTTACTTTGCCTGGGATCCTTAGCTGCTAGTTCAAAGGATTCTTAGTCAACTGAGTTAACCAGGTAGCCAACTGAATCCTACAGCTAGAATACTGTTGCATTTTCTTCAGGGATATCTTTTATAATCAGTTCTGTGGTAGCATGAAACAAGGACAGAACACTGGGACTCCAATAAGCTTACAGAACAGGTTGTGTTACTTTGAATCTCCGTTTGCCAGTAGATGTTTTTAAGTGTGCCAGAACTTGGTTTCATTATAACCTGGCAGCAAGGTTGCAAGGAAATAACTAATGCTCACCTACCTCCAATGTCTATAGCCTACAGTATCTACTAAAAATAACCTAAGAATTGTGCATAACTTAAATATTAGATTTGGTTGTTCCAGATAGAAAGTGGGTAGCCCTCCAGGAACTACAAAGCAAACATATCCTGAGTATCCAGAATTATTTTCATTAATACAGGCGTTATAGGTGAACTGATAAGATATTACATACTCTTAAAAATAATAGTTCGGTAAAAGGATATGTGCTAAAAACAATTAGAACTACAGTATGATTGCCGTTGCTATGTTTATATGCAAATTAATGTTTTATAACCAAGCTTAAAGAAGAAATGAGAGTTCACGTAAGTGACTTCATGGCTACCTTTCCTGCACTCCTTTCTAAATAAACTTGATGATAGTGCTACAATACCAACAAAGGAAACTGACTTACATTTCACAAAGTTACTCTATCACAGGCATCTCTGACATAATAGATCTGAAGGAATTGTTTGTATCTTATTTGCACAACAGCTTACTGAAAGTTACATGTAAAATGATTATTTCTCATATTATATTGTAAAATCAAACACTAAGATGACACTTTTAGTACAGCTAAGAATTTTTTCTTGAATAATAGTAAATTTGATTGGTGTGTTTCCCTGGGGAAAAGGTCCATTGCTTTAATTAGAATCTCAGCGAATCTGATGAATTTTTTTAGGAATTGTTATTTAATACATTTCAGCATAGGTGGTATGAAATAAATGTGTGCATTTTGGTCTGTATCTGAGGGGCAGTCAGTTTTCCTCACTGAGAATGTGAACATTACACAGTGGTTAGTGAGCCACACTTTGATACTCTAACTAAACTAAAAAAGAAAATGAATTATTATGGGTTGAATTGTGTTTCCCCCAAATTCATTTGTTGAAGTCCCAACACCTCAGAATGTGACCTTATTTGGAAAAAGAATCTTTACAGCGGTAATCAAGTTAAAATGTAACACCACAGAATAAGAATATAGGTGGTATCATGTGGCCTGTAACTGAAATGTGTTCAGTTATATTAAGGTGGGTCCTAATTCAGTAAGACTGTTGTCATTATAAAAGCAAACTTGGGCATCGACAATTGCAGAGGAAAGACAAAGCAAAAACAGAGGAGATGGCCATCTATGAGCCATGGTGAGAGGGTTGGCATAGATTCTTCCCTTATACTCTGCAGAAGGAGCCAACCCAAGATCGAATTTGATCTTGGACTTCTAAATTTCAGAATTGTAAGATAATATATTTCTGTTGCTTAAGCTGCCCATTTTGTGGTACTTTAAAATCAGGCTAAAATCACACAATCCTTTTTTTTTTTTTTTTTTTTTTTTTTTTTTTTTTTTTTTTTTTTTTTTTTTTTTTTTTTTTTTTTTTTTTGAGTTTAGCACTGAACTAAGTTCTTTTACAAGGTCTAATTCATCCAGGCTCTTATACTCCAAATTCATAAATTCTGATTTTGTCAGATTTGTCCCCCTAGAAAAATATGAGGGAGATAATTTATTAGCTAAAATATGGAGCTCAGGGCTATCTATATATTTGACTGGCAGCCTAGCCTGGAAAACAGGAGATATTGACGGTTCTGTTATCAAGTAGTTAGGTGAGTTTTGAGAAAGTCCCTTCCTCTCTGTGTCTAAATTTCTTCATCTAAATTTCTTCATTCATAAAATGAAAGACTGGGATTATATGAGCTTTAATGTTTCTTTTGTAGCTATGACTTTATGTATTAACAATGATAACATTTACTAAATACCTTAAAAAATAAATGTCAAATGTTTTGAGTTTTCCTTTAATAACATTACTGGTAAAGTAAGACTTCTAATCTTTCTACAATTCAATTGTTTTACAACTATCTCTTAGTCTTCTCTTTCTGGATGAAAATCCCTACAAGGCAACTATCTTACAAGGTTAACAATTTCAAAAAGAGTTTGAAAATAACCTATTAACATTGTTCCCAATCCAACAGATCACCAAATCCTACTACAGTATTCTATTTCAAACATATTTTCTAAATCTTGCTAATTATCTACAACTTCTTTATCACTGTCTTCATTTAGATCCTAAAAATTAATGCTGTTGAACTGGATAAACAATTCCCTAACTCTTCTGTTTCTGGTCACAAACCTGTTTAATCCATCTTATATATGCAAAGTGATTTTCTAAAACATAAATCTGATTATGTCACTCATGTTTTTAGAATCCTTCCATCATTTCTGAATGTGGTCTCCTTGTTCCACTTACATCAGAATTACTTGGGACAATTAAAAATGTAGCCTTTAAGGACACTCCTTGAAAATAGCTCCAAATGTCTCATCTTGTATGATCCTGCATCCCCAGTCCACAGACTCTGACTGGGACTTAGTCAGAGCTCAATAAATATTTGCTGAATTAAGGAATTCTTGAATTGCATTCTAAAGCTAAACAATCAGAATCTGGAATAAAGAATCCTATGTTTTCTTAAGCTCCTTCAGTGATTTTTTTTTTTTTTATCCATACTAAACTCTTGGAAGCATCAATACAAAGGATAATGTCCAAATTATGTAGAATGAATTCATAAGGAAGGCCCTTCACAATCTGTACTCTAGCTACTTTTCCAAGTTCATCTTTTGCCACTTGTTACTTGCATAGCCATAGTGAAAGAGTTTCATTCATAAAAAGCAATGTTGCTGAACCTCTTGAATGGCTCTTTTTCCTGCTGTGTCCTTTCCCCTTTGCTAGCTTTACAACTTAAGTAGAAATTCTTTCTTATGAAGCTTTGCCTGACATCTTCATGCTTTCCTCTCATCTACGCTCCCACAACACCTTGCTCTATTTTTGTACTATACTATCATACTGCTTTTGTTTACTTCCATTTCTGTACCATGAGTTCAGTCAGGAACTGTCTTATTCCTTTGATTTCCAGAGCCTAGTACAGTGAGAATATGCACTTACTCTCATTCAAATGTTTGTTTAATGACAGAATCAATGAATGAATGAAAAATGTGAAGAGGCCAGAGATTACAGGATTTAAGTTATAAATCCAAGTCAACGTTCTGAGTCTTTTAGGAACCAGCAAGTTAATACATATGAATCTGGTTGCTCTCTGCTTTCCAACACTTTTTTCCAGTGCAATGGTTGTGGCATGGGCACCCCTGGTGTCAAGACCATTTCAGGGAATCTATAAAATCAAACCGTTTTTGTAATAATACTAAAATATTATTTACCTTTTTCATTCTTATTATCTTATAAGGATACAGTGGAGTAATTTAGAGGCTACATGATGTGTGATACTACAACTGATAGCATGTAGAAAGAAAATCCAGTTTTCTTCAATTACAACATTAAAGAGATTTGCAAAATGTAAAATAATATACTCATTAATTTTTTGAAAATTTTATTTATGTTAATATGTTATGTTTATTATTTTAAAATGAATTAATCTTTAATTAATTTTTAATTTAATTAATTAATATTAATTTTTTTCATTTTAATTTAGAATATGATAACTATGAATAGATAATAAAATTCAGAAAGCTCTTCAGGGTCCTTAATTTTTCAGACTGTAAAGGAGACCTTAGATCAAAAAGTTTGGGAGCCACTGCTCTAGTCTTTTCACAAACTGGTCAAATTATGCTGGGCTAGTGGCTCATGCCTGTAAATTCCAGTGCTTTAGGAGGCTGAGGCAGGATGATTGCTTAAGACCAGGAGTTCAAGACCAGTCTGAGCAACATAATGAGACCCCTGTTTCTACAAAATAATTAAAAAATTAGCCAGATATGATGGTGCACACCTGTAGTCCTAGCTACTTGGGAGGCTAAGGTGGGAGGATCACCTGAGTGAGGAAAGTGTGAAGATGTCAGGCAAATCTTCCTAAGGAAGCATTTCTACTTGAATTACGCTGTAAAGCTAGCAAAGGAGAAATTGAGGATTCAGTGAGCTATGATCACACCATTGCATTCTACTTGGGTAACAGATCAAGATCCTGTCCAAAACTGGTCAAATTATACAAACTGGTGTAAACCAGTTAGTCATCCATCCAAAATTCATGGAAACAGAAATTGTTACTTAAGAAGGCCTGCTACTCAAGGTTTTACTTACTTTTCCCCCCAACTATTGAATGGCCCAACTTCTCTAAGCATACCTGTTGATATAGTATCCAGCATGCAAGCCTGTCAAAATGTGTCTCTTCTTCCATGAAATTCTTCCTGATTTTTGACAACTGCATGTGCTACTTGCCAGTGTGATCTGTACAGTATTTCCTCACCTCTCTTGTTTTTCTATATCTTAATTACATGTATGCTTGCTTTCCTTCCTATCAGACCATAAAGGCCATGAAGGCACAGTGATATAATGTGGAAAGAAAATGTGCTTTGGGGTCTAACACACCTGGTTTTGAATTCCAGTTTCCCTTTCACTAATTCTGAGACCCAGCGCAAGTTTTTGAAATGCTTAGGGCTCTTGTTGCCACATTTTTGAATGGGAATAATAATCATTGCTTTCTTGTCATCCTGCCTAAATAAGAGCTTAGCACAATGTCCAGCATAAAATGGGCACCCAATAAATAGTAGCTATTACTATTAAAAATCTGTAAATCTTGTATTTCCATTCATATTACCTTCAGCACTACAGGCACTTAACAAATATTTCTTAGGTTAATTAAAATCTAACATATTGCAGAGCTTTCTCCCTGAAGCAGAAAGAACATGAGACTCAAACAAATACCAACCAGGGTCATCTATTCTTCCTTTCTTTTCAGACTGACTCCTTTCAGTAGGATTATTTACGCTTTCTATCCGTCTGAGCTTCTTTTTTTGCATTCCTCTTATTCTTCAACTATAAAGCTCTTGTTAGATTTTTTTTTTTTTTTAAAAACTATAAGTATCTTTTAAGTATTCTCTTTTGCTTCCCCTGTGATTATTTCTAATTTACCACTAGGTTGTTCCATAAGCTGAAGGAGTATTCCTTCTGAGATTGTTAAAGCAATAATTTTCCTTCCTTCAGTAGAGGCAAAAATATTTTATTTGTATTACTTCAATCACATATATATGTTTAGCTTTT